GGAAAACAAAACGTGCCTGTCAGCTAGATTGGCTGCCAGACTCCAGAGCCATATATTATGCCAAAACATCCACATTTGATAAGTTGACATCAATAATGTGAAGAAATCTTGCAGGAGTAGATCTCATATCAACGAGCCTGACCCATAGGTGACTATTACTGATATACTGTATCCAGTTCATTCAACACAGCTACGGAAAGATTTATTGAATTGTGAATTATGAAAAATCTGATCTGACAAACATTCTGTATTTCTGTCTTTTCATATGGCACATACACTATTTGAACTTTAAAATGCAATGCTCATTTCTTGAAAGGGTGCCAGGTAGTACAGTAAAATGCTGGGTGTTGTGGGTGTTGTATTAGTCATACTGTGTTGTTAAAGACCCTCACTGTTCACATCTTTCTGCACAACATTTGTGTCACTTTAAACAGTTTAACTTATAAATTGGATAAACTGGATTGTTGACCAGGTTCATGGAGTCACATCATTACTCATCCACTGTAACAATCTGTCATTTGTTATTACATAAAAATTGCACAAATTACTTGTTTATTAAATCTTCAATACCTGTCTAGGCCACTGATTTTTGTAACTGCTCTTTCTTTAAACCATCACACGATGTCACATTGGAAGCCTAATCATAAGTCATACACCTGAGATCTTCATAATCTTGTGCATGTGTATACGTTAATGCAACATGTGCAGCTCAGACTAGTGATGTGCTGAAAGTGATACATAAATGTTACTAGGTCCAGCCTAGTAAGATTGGCGTTGTGACTGTTACGGAAGAGTGACCAGGGTTCTCATTCAGACGTGAAGCCGACATGTTCAGATGCCGTCAGATTTATGGAAAGGAGTGCATGTTTGAAAGGGGCTTAAGACAAAGTCTGAGATGTCATTTTAGATGCTGCTGGCTGTCTCATAAATATAAAACATGTTTCAACATGTCTGTGCAACTCCTGTCAAATTAAGAAATATTGAAACACAGAAAATGGATAATAGAACATAGCCTCCATAGTATTCACTATGCTGTCAGCAACTGTAAATAATGATTTTAGCTTTTCTTCATATATTATAGGCTATCTGTTCAATAGCTCAAACTGTTTTACCCACAACAGGTGGGGGGTGTTGAAAGAGTTTGGGAACCAGGTCTAATGTAATTAGTTCACGCATTCTTAATACTTCTCAGTCATGTTATTTTGTCATTGGTTTTGTTGAAAGAAATGTGTATGAGAGTGGTATTCAATTAGTCCAGAGGTAAAATACTGTAGTTTTCAGCTGGTAGCAGCATGCATTGTCTCTGTGAAGAAGCTGTAAACTTGTAGAAAACATGAACTTTGGAGAAACTTTGGAGAAACTTTGGAGAAACTTTGGAGAATGTCATATCATGTCTGAGTGAAACACCTCACAATATATTACCTATGAGCTACCCATTAGCTGTTAGCAAGCAGCTAATGTGAATAGGATGTTTTGTATTTGGCTAGTTCCCTATTAGCTAATAATATGATATATGTACTTATTCATATTCATGTGCTCTCTATTTATTGAATAATTGGTTATTGTAGTTACTTATTGTGAATGTTATTTGTCCATTAGCATGATGCCATAATATGTGAGGGACACAAAAATACATCTTTATCAGGTAAACTGGAGCCAGAACCATTCATTAAGTACTTCCTGATTTGTTCTTTATTGATCTTATTGGTTTGGTAACCACTCACGGTTTAACATACCTTGTTGTAAAGTGTTACAGTGCTTATTTTTGTGGTCTTTGTTAGAAACTACCTATGTGGCTGACTTTGGGTGGCTGCCTGTGGAACTGTAATTATTCATGACAACACATAGCCAGCTCTCCCAAACCGCTTGTTGTGTGTGCAGGCATCAACAACATGAAAAGTGGTCATTTGAAGTGAGTCCAGATAATTCCTGCCATCAATGTTCACCTTAATGTGATTATAACATTTTCTACCCTCAGGAGGTTTAAAACGTAAATCAGTACACACCATGCATTTTTTGGTTTCATTTTAATTAAGAATTGTCCTTTTCTCTTTTGTCCACAGATCTGATGTTTTCCTGGATTTTTAATGAGTACCCGACATTTGTGAAGCAGGATACTCGCCGCTTCATCTCACAGGAGACAGGGAATCTGTACATTGCCAAAGTGGAGCCATCAGATGTTGGCAACTACACCTGTGTTGTGACCAACACTGTCACAAAGACGCGAGTCCAGGGCCCACCCACTCCACTAGTGCTCCGCAGCGACGGTGAGCCATGAATGACCACAACACACAAGACTGCTGGCTAGTTAACTAACAAGCGTGTTCAGGTTTACTGGGCTGCATATCACACTGTTGTGTCATACAGTCACTAATTAGACTATGCTGTCATTGGCCTCTTACTTCAGTTAATTGAACTGAATCGGCCTTGTCAAATCTGTGGGTTTCCAAAGATGGGTCTTGGAGAACTGTCTGTGTGCAAATACAAACTGAATACAGTATATACTCTACTAGACCTTCATATGTGGCTACATGAAGATCTGTAATGCACTTCTCTCTTTGTAGGGCTTTTTTCTGTAAAATACAAGAGCACAGTGTTGTGGATGGTGTTTTTATGCCTCCACATGGCAGCCGGAGACATAATGTATGTTGTCCATATTATGTTATAAGGTGCCCATCTGTCCCATTCTCGTTAACATAATATCTCAGGATTGTCTTGAAGGAATTTAAGGTCTACTTGGATTCAAGTGAACAAAAGCTCTCTATCAGTCAATATAGTGTCAGTAGAGTGACTATTTCCATTTTTCCAATTAATGAATCAATTAATTTGCACACAAAATTCTTTCAAATTTTTCACTACATCAGTATGTTATATGAGTCTAGACAGACATTCATGTAAACTGCAGTGTGAATGGTTTTCTGGCCCTGGTCATGAGAAACAAAAAGCCAAACTTGTTTCTGGTACTGTACCTGAAAATAGAATAAGTAGTTTTAAAGGAATACAAATGAACTTCAAAGGTTAATTATCTCTTTCTTTGCTAATTTCAGCCTATCCTGTAACATGTGAATCTGAAGCTTTAGGCTGGCCTAATCAAGGCACCCCAGAGAAAAGGTCATTGTCAGCACATAATCTAATTGTAGGCATCAGTCCCCAAAGTACAGTATGTCCTTTCTATATGCTAGAGTGCAGTAGAAGAAATAGAAGCAAAGTGTAAATGCCACTAAAAACAGCTTTTATGACATTTATGTTATGTTTGTCTTCCCATTAATTATAACTGATCTGATTCAATAAAAAAAAAAGAAAATCCCAAGAAAGAACATTACTTCTTATCAAACAGCTTTGTTGCAGTGAAGACCCACTGGAGTCTAATAAATCACACAACACTGCCTCTGCCACTTTTCGCCCATTGCTATGGGTGTGTTGACACAGGACAATAGTGATGTGAAAACATTCTTATATTTAACAGAAAAGGTGCCTGTTAGCATGTCTTTACTAGCTCTGTGTAATTAACTCATTGCTTTATCTGACAAGTTCTGCAACTTTGCACCAAGCTGCATTTATCTTCTGTTTGTCAGTGTAATCTAGAGGGCAGGGGTCATATAGGAGAGTAATCCCAGAGACTACAACTGTTCTCTCCTCCATAGATGTTTTACCATTCTCCCATCTCTGAACAAGCCACTTTGTCAGTTTTCACTGTGTCACTTCCCTGTGACAAATTTGCGTAAAGTTGAACATTTTTAACGTCTGACCCCTCCCCTTTGGCCACTTTGTGAGCCCTTTTGCATCAACTGATATCCCAGAGAGCTTTGCAAAACAATTCGCTCGTGTCTCGCAGAAAATGAATGGTGCCGAGTTTCTAATATTTCTGTCAACAGTTGTAACTGTAGTAAGTAGTAGTGTTTTAATACCAGTCCTTTATATTATAAAGCATTCCTTAGCTCTTTATGCACATGTTCAAATCGCTCACAACAGTTTTGAAAATGGAGGAAATGTTTTTAAAAAATCATGAGGACATACTGTATATCATTACATCTAGTCTGAATACTGACACTGGATGTCTGAGGCAGATACTGTAACTATTTCAATATCTGAAAATCTGATAAGTGTATCAGCCAATATTTTAGGTAAATATAGACCCAGAACACACGATATAAACATTTTTCATTAGGATTATTTAAATTTGGTTATCAAAGAATTGCAACCACAATATTCACTGGACAGTAAATTCACATTTGGAAAAATGTAAGAAACTTTCTTGTTACAGCATACAGTACGTACAGTACAGTACACATCAGTATCTGATTTAAGCTAATAGTATATGTCAGCAAATATACATATAGCCAAAAAATAACATAATTAGTTAACAAATTAGACTCTAATAACAATTATGCTATCTTTTCTTATCAAGCACCATTCCTTGTTTTATGATTTATGGATACTTCACATGAGGGGTCATGAGGGCAGAGTTACATTTGTTGAAAAATATACCAGTAAACAAATGTAAGCATCTTATGTTTGCTTACAATTGCATGTTTTATTTTTCCTTATTTACTGCCTATAAATGATGAATAGGGGAGGTTAAAATCAAATGCTGCCTTACTGTTGGTCTTAATAGTCTGATAGCTGTGGTAGTAGTAGTAGAGACGGCCCAAGTTGATCCTGCATAAAAGGATCGGCATCAGGGCCAATCCAGCCATATTGAAAGAATCAATTTTGGTTCAAATAAAGCCAATCAAATGCTGAATCTTCTTTAGTTTTACTCTACCACAGCAGTTCTTAACCAAGGGGACTTGACCCGTCTCTCCTCTCTCCCCCTGGAGTACCCTTCCCTTCCCTCCTCTCTGTGTAGATCAGGGAAGGGAGGGATGAGCTGCTCACAGAGCAGGGCAGAGCGCAGAGGAGGTTATATTTTACTTGAGTCTATCACAGTGCTCATTAACCGCCAGCAACAAAATCCGCCTGTAAAGAGACAATATGAGCAATTTATCAAACAGCTGCTGAACATGCAGAACACAAATTTGCTGAAATGTGACCTTGTCAACTTGCTGAAGTCTCCTTTTCCCTCAACCAGTGTGTCTGTTTACAAAGTCATACAAATACTATAGGATATGAAGTTGAATCTAATCAACTATGAAAGTTTGTACAATTCTTGAAGACATTTTGATTGAAATCCCCAGCCTAAAAATTAAAAGTACCTTAAAAGAGAACATAACAGCTTCTTCTGGATGGCGAAGGCAAATGCAACACAGAAGCAACAAACCTTGAGGGGTACTATTTAGGTAAATGTAAGAATCAGGCTCAGTATTGCCATACATCCATTATTAAAGGGGGGAAAAACTTGATCGGGACATCCCTAGTATTAAGAATATTTTCTTACCCATATACTGTGCACAAAGAATTAAATGTTGTCTCAACATATTACAAAACATTGTGCTTGTAGTCACACACCCTTTCCTCAGTTAACTTTTAAATGCAGTTTTATAGCTCTGCAGTAGCATTGCAGGGACAACTGGTAACAGAAAAAAAGGACGAATAAGGCAGTTGTGAGGGGAATTAGATGACATAGCATGCTTCAAATTATAGCCTGGATTCTTACATAAGTACACCTGACTAGCCTAAATGTTAACAGAACAAAACTGCCATTTGGGATGTTCACATGCAATAGTAATAACAATATACAGTAGCATTTGATAAAGAATGAAGGGTGTGTTGGAAGATAAATCCTCAGAGAGACAGGATCGTGAAAAGCTGGTTTAATTTTTCTTGAAACAATTCCAGAGCACTTCCCCTCCTTCCTTCCTTTCTTTTTTCATTATACCTTTATTTCACTGTGGCAGTGGGACCAACAACCAAACATCAGTCTTGCCTGACACCCACACTGGCTCAGGTAGGGGGGGAACAGGCAGCCACATTAAACAGGTGTCCCCTACAAAAGGTTATGGTATGAGACAATTACCTGTCCACTTCCACCTGTCTGCTTTAACATGGGTGATAGTGCTGTGGTTATGTTTCGGTATGAGACAATTGTGATAAGGATCTGAATTAGCTTTCACAGTCACTCAGGAAGCCATCCTGATAACAAATGCCTCACCAAATCAACGAGTTGAAATTGGCCTGTTTCCTCCATCTCTACAGCGATTTGTGCAACACAGCCCTGAATTACAGCAATAGGGATAAGCCTGTTGTTACGCTGGTGGATGAGAGTGGCTTAAAATACCATGTTGTGCACACAGGCTGAGAATCAGTGCAGCCAAGAGGAGTAAAAGTACACCCAATTCATTGACATAATTGACCTTACTGTCATTTAAGGAAGGATAAAATACATATGTTTTTCCAGTGATGTTAGACACTCTAGTCTTGATTTATGAAAAGGCCTCTTCCAAAGCTAGGATGCCTGCATTCCTGTCTTCTCTTTTATTCAGAGATTTTTAGCATGCACAGCAGCAATATTATAATCCAGCAGAGCTGCTTCACCAACAGTGAATGGGATGCTTTGTAGACACAGTGGCAGTACCCAGGGGGATTTTATGGGCCCATTTTCTGGTTCATAGCTGTTAGCACTACAACAAGATGAAACTCATCTGGATGTAAAAGCTCAAATCGTCTATGAATTCTCAATGTTGTTTTTTCCATTCAACATCAGTGTGTTGCATGTCCACTGGAGAACTTGCTTTTGGCTTCTTTTTTCATTCTTTTCAATGGGAGAGCATTCAGTGACAGCTCTGCGAGCACAGCATGTTTCTGCTGCTCAGATTGCACAGTACATTTCAGCTTATAGTATAGACAGCAGCGGACTTCAAACAGGTTTTCAGTAGTTGTGCAGCAACAGCAGAAGCCACAGCTAGTGCTTTGTATTTAGTTTTTTGCCTAAGGTATTTAACATAAATCAGAAATGTAACTTTTTACGCTCATTTGCTTTTCTCTTTCAGGTGTGATGGGTGAATACGAGCCAAAGATTGAAGTTCAGTTTCCAGAGGTTGTACATGTTGCCAAAGGATCCACTGTAAAGCTGGAATGCTTCGCTCTGGGAAAGTAAGCCAACTCTGAGTGAGGCTCAGCATACTGGATTTTAAGAAATTAGAGAGCTGATGTTGTGGTGTATAAATCTTCTGTAAAAATATTAGCTTTTCTAATACAAGACTGGGTAATATGCCTAAAGTTAAAATACTGAACAGCTATACTTAAGTTGATGTGGAGTGTGGTAAATTTTGCTGTTTTACATTCAACAAAAAATCTAAACCCCTTCGCTGAGTTATCAGTCAAGTATATGTGTACCTACTAGGAATTTGACTCCATTTTGTTGTGACTCTCAGGGAGATATTTACTAAACCTGTTGCAAATTACTGTCAGGCTCGGAAAATATTGCAACATAGCAATTTTTTTATTTAGCGGTATATTTACCAATGCTGATGTGAATGAGCACAGCAGTAGCTGTGTTAATTTGAATACACTTCTGTTTTGGATCTGCTGCCTGAAGGCTGTTGCACACAAGTTTACAGCAACTGAACTTTAATGTGGTTGAAGAAATCAGCAAACACATTTTTGAATGACGGTTATGGCGTCTCCTGCCGGTCAAATAATTTTTTATTTCATTCAGTACCTGAAGCATGGTCTGACCTGAAAGCCTGTACAAGCCCCTCACATTCTACTTTGGTGAATGATGCGATTTACACCCGCTTCCTTCTCAAATGCTCTTATCTCCAAAAAGATCTCAGGTGACCACTGACAGCAGGGCCACAAATTTTACACCTGTTTTTTCCTGGCATTAAATTTCACTGTTTAGCCCCAGAGAATGAGCAAAAAAACTTTTGTAAATATCCCCCTTAGTGTACATTTACACAGTCCCAAGAACAATTTACAGATATGTGCAATATATATTGCATAAATATAGATAAACTTAATGTAAACCTCTAAATGAGGAACATTTAGTGCAATTGTGAGTGGGTGAGCAGAGTCTGCTGGAATTAATACTGTGGTGTAGTTTACTTTATATTCTGTACATACCAGAGGTCATTTGTTCACAGTACATACAGCCTGCTTAGCTTTATATGTGAAATTCAAAATACTCTAGATGGATATTATGGTGGAAAGGCAACAAAATAAGTACATTTTAATGATGTAAAACATTGCAATTTGATCTCGCTGTCAAGTAAATGTTGTTCTCTTCAGACTGCTCTTGAAATAAATGTTAAGGATTTTAATAACGTTATTTCAGGTAAATTAGAGCACCTTTGCAAATTTGAGACATTAAATTCATCATGTCTATAAGGTAATATTAATTTCTATTTGTACAGGTAATGAAGTAATTAAGGAATTATAAGTTTATTTAAGGGATGCTTGTGTGCAAATGGTTGGGTTTGGAATTTTGTCATTTAAAAAAAATGCACCACAAATTATGTTTTATTATTTTCAATAAAGGTATAAAGGCATGTCTGTTAAATGTATCAAGTTGTGTTTCAGTAGTTTTGTTTAAAAATGTCTTCTGTCTGTTAAACAATAATCATGAGATAGATACAATCTTAAAAATAGCTTACAGTTGGTTATTCACAAAAGCAATAAGCAATAAGTCATTCACAGAAAACTCAAAGCTTTGACTTAAGAGGGTTAAACTTCTCTGTTTTTGCAGTCCTGTACCTTCTATAAACTGGAAAAGAGCAGATGGAGTGCCCTTCCCCAGGAAAGTGGACATGAGGAAATCCAGCGATGTTCTGGAAATCCCATATTTCCAGCAGGAGGATGCTGGCACATATGAGTGTGTGGCCGAGAATTCCAGGGGAATGAACACAGTAAAAGGAAAGCTCTCTTTCTACGGTAGGTGATCCTGTAGCGCATGAATATTTGACCAGCGTGCACCATATCTGTCAGATCTGCTCAGAAAGAGAGGCGGAAAAAGTAGACACAGCTGGTCTTATGAAGCAGTCAGTGGCAATCAGCAGAGGCCTGTGTGGAGGAAGGCTCATTTTAACAGAACATCAAAATGATTAAAGGCTGTCAGCTGTGATGCCTCTAATATTTTGATCCAGATTAAAGGAGTGATGCAGATGAGACTGAGCCCTTGGTCATGACCTTGTTGGTAATCCCTGTTTTAGGTTCCATCACATGCCATCATGGCTGACATCCAACCTGACTGAAGATCTATGCAATTAAATATACTATACATAGACCAGTGGAGTATTCAGTATGTCAGCAACATAATTAAACCTGTGGCTGGAGTCACATCTGTTGAGTTTGGATACTAGTCACAATAACCACAAACTAAAATTTATAGGCCACTACACTGCAAATTAAAAATCTACCATCTGAATATTGACGATGTGCTCTTTTAAAATGACTACACAATTCAATAACTTTTCCAGAGTGTGAGTATTAAATAAGCCATATGTTTTACCTTTAAAAATCACAACTAATTTACAACTAATTTGACATAGCAGCACTCAGCACTAATTGCAGTATATTTAGGTGTAATACAGCAGATTATCACAGCCATCCCTGGTAGGCTAGTGGTTAAGGCGCAGCACTCTCGCCGCTGCGGCGAAGGTGACTTTCTTTCACAGCAGATTATCACAATTTCAGTAGGCAGCACTTTATTACAGAGGTTTGATATTTTTGCAGTTCAACACTTATTACAAATCTTCTCTTAGTTTATGAACGATATGTTGCTCCCGGCTTTCTTTAGGTTTATTTAGGCCTGTTCTTTGTTTTCTTCTTTTTTGTACATTGTAAATTACTGTAAAACACAAGCTGATCATAAATGTCCAAGGTACATTGTATGCTTTCATTTATTTTGTCCATACTATAGCAGTTGCACTGTATATTCTCTAAAATGCCACAGATTTACTACAGTAGGATCCAGTAGGATTTGGCCAAAGTGCATTAAAATGGAATTAGCTCTGGAAATATTTGTGGCAAATTTATTTGTACACCTTCTTTCAACAACAAGACATTCAAACTGTTGTACACAAGACATAAGCAGACAATTAAGGCAGGCTATAGAAGAAAAAAGGACAATATAAAAAAAAGACATATAAAGAGGATTTATGAGAGTAACAGTCTCTAAATTCCACCCCACAGTGTAATCCCATGAGGGTTCTGAGTCTTCCACCGTGCAATGTACAAAAGAGAATTGAGGATTCATTCCCAGCTGGAATACTAATTATGGTGAAACAGCTCCAGTAACACTAAGTTAGGTGTTGAGCTTTAATTAATAGAGCATAAGTTTAATTTCACTTCCATTTTTATGACTTGTCACCACTAGACTGAGGCAAATGTTATGAATCCTATAAGTCATATATAATCAAAGCTGGCAAACTGCTCTGGTTTACTAGTTTAAAAGAGCAATATACTATGATATCCATTACTGATTTAGTTGTAAATGAATGAATGAAGCATTTCCTTGGCATGTATATTTTAATGGTATTTTGACCGGGCTATTTCTTTTCTGTTTGCCAGGCGGTTGTGTTCTGGACCTTTCTCCCACAGCCCTCTGTTTTCTTCTTTCTGATTTACCTCTCTACAGGTCACACTGTCAGCTGTTATAAATAACTCATTTGTGTCATTAAACAGTTTGCCATTATTTACAATAGCCTGAAAGCTCTTAGCCTCATTCACTATAAGAGCCCAGCAGCAGGCTGTGATCTACCAAGGCTTGATTTGTCCTTTAGAGCTGCTGGTCCTTTCTCATTTTTGATGTGTTTTGTCAGTCTGACTCTCTTTCTCTCCCCCTGCTGTCTGTAGCCAGGTGATAAAAATCAGTAATCTTATTTTGAACTCCTTTTGAATTAAGCCTTTGAGACATTCGTCAGCAGTATAAGCCAATGGGGGAATCGATAAGGGTATCTCTTGTACATCCAAGGGAGCTACAGTGGAAAGAGAGCTGGGCTTTGTGTTAGATGGGGAGAAATGAAGGTGTTGCTTTATGGCGGCACAATGGTCATTGTTAAGACATTCTCTCAGTCTTCATGTCAGTGTTGATGTACTAAAATGGTTTTTAAAAGTTGCTTTTTCTTTCCAGTACGGTTGATTTAATGTGTTTTGAGTTTCTTTGGACTACTCTGGATACGAATGAGCTGTACGTCAGACTTATAATAGTGTTTTTAAATTGTTCCATTTCATCACTTCATCTGGTCCTGATGTACTTTAAAGAAATATATTCATAAAATAGTAAATGTATTAACTGAAAGAGGGATTCATTAACTGTGCGGAGGTTTTAGAAGCACATTTGTGGCTTAAAGCTTGAGGTGAAATAAAATTTATATCTTGATGTTCTTTTTAGTCTGGGTGCATTTAGCCACCGTCTTTCTCCCTGTTAGTCATAATTCTGTATTTGAGACCATTTTTTATCCTAAATTCCAGCCAAAGACTAGTATTTTGTGATAAATTTCCATCTCTGAAAGAAAAGTTTAGAAAAGAAATAGGCATTTTCCCACTTGCGCATGTTGCTATTCAGAGGGAGAGTAAACGTCAAGTTGTGCCAGGTTAGTTTCCCTGTTGTATTCACATTTGTGTTTCTGTGGAGTTACTGCTGCATTATCTCATAGTGATTTCACTGATAAGGCAAATTCCCATCTTTCCTCTGCTTTAGCCACTTGACGTTTGGCCTGATTGTATACGCTCTGGACCTGGTGCAGGCAGAGATGGGCTGCCTGCTTTCATTTGGTGAGCGTTGACTGAGAGTCGATACCTTTGCAGCGGTTGAGGAATAGAGTGAGATTCCATGGCAGTGAGGAGAAAAACAACAACAACAACAATAACAACAATGCGGTCTTGAAAGGTGCAGTGGGTGGGGCAGCTCAGCCAGGCTTTGATGGAGGATTGCAGTAACATTAATGGATGTGATGCTAAATGACTGGTGATGGTGAAGTCGTATAGAGTAACTCTCTACAATCTCTCCCAGAGGTTTCACACATTAAGGAAAGTACTACTCAGTTTATGTAAAGCGAATGATCACACTGACTATTTGGGCCATGCTTTTTCTTGCATTTTGTTGAGTAAAGGGAAGGTTGACATACTGTATATGTTATCTTACATAATTTTGGAAGGTATATGTCTTTTCTGTAGCAGCATAAATAAGAGAAGCTTCACCTTCCAGTAACTTTCATTCAGAGGAAATTGTAACCTATTTACTGTTTGCAGAGATGGCAACAGCACAGCCTCCATACAAGTTAAATGTTAATAACCTCAGCCAACCTTGCACAGCAGCCTCTGCTGCCAGCGGGGTCTGGGAGACCTATGGTATGACACACAATCCACCAGCACAAATATTTCTTTGATACTGGAAGGATTTTGATGCCTGTGCAGGACTCCGACATAAATACACAAGACAACACAAAAATCCCTGCTACTCTTACTCTCTGTCTTCATCCACTGTCTTCTCTCTAGGTTTCCAAACACCCACATACATGCACACATTCGCTCACACATTGACTACATGCTGAAGTAATGCAGAGATAGTGTGTGGGATACATTTGCAGTTATCGAATTTCTCGCTCTGTTATCCTTCTTTTCTTGAAGGCAAAATACTGCATAGCAGAAGCCAATTAGATCAGGATTTGTACTGTAAAAAGCCTGAATAAAGGTCAGTCCTTGAGAGTGGCATTAGGTGAGGTCGGTGAAATGGAGAAGTGCAGTCAGTCATTACTCTTGTTCTGCCACTGGCCTTGTGTGATATAGGATGATAGGAGCTTGACCTACACATCAACCAGAATCTGCAAAGCACACAGAGTGGTTTATTTATTTATTTATTTATTTGGGGGGGGGGGGGGGTCTTAGCCATTAACTAGCTTTGAGTTACTTGCATGACGCCACAAGAATCAATTGTCCTCTTGTATAATTATACCATCATTTACTCAGGTTGTATCGGATGGATGGTGTTTATGGCATCAGTGGTGACATGATGTATATGGATCCGGTTTTCATCACTTTTACCTCAAGCACACTGAGAAACTGAAAGAAACCATAAAAGGAGATATTTGCTCTTACACTAGAGGCAGTAAATATGGAATTCAGTACCCGGTCACTGAAATTCAACACAAAGGTTTGAAAACAAACAGTTCTTAGGTCAGCAGTTTGTATTTTAAATTACCATTAGTTAAATTACCATTACCCCCCCACCCCCGCCTAACAAGCTTTTGGTCATTCACGTGCTGCCAAAACAGCTCTGATCCACTAAGGCTTGGACTGTCCTCTGAAGGTGCCCTGTGGTGTTTATCACCAAGACATTAGCAACATACCCTTTAAGCCCTGTAAGTTACGAGGTGGAGCCACCATGAATCAGGCTTGTTCCAGCACATCCCTCATGTCGCCAGTTTGTGGTTTATCCCTCCTCGAACCACTGTCAGTAGGTGCTCACCACTGCTCACAGGGAGGTGATGTGTGCTTTTAGCAGAAGATAATCACATTTTTTTCTTCACCTGTGTGTAGTCATAACGTGTTGGGTGTATGTCAGACATCAACAAATATCGATTGTTCCCAATCTGGTATATTCCAGGGGAATCTAATGTTACAGTTAACTCAGATAAGCATATAAACCTTGCCACCAACTCTTCTCCTCTTACATTTGAATTCTGGCAGCTGGGTGGTCTGAGAACAATACTGAACAGTTTCAGTGACCCAGTGTTTTTAATTCCAGTGGAAATTATGCCCTTGCTAAACTGTCATTTTCTTAGTCATATTATTTTGTCTATATCAAAATGATCCAATGCTGTCTCACATTTTTGATGTTTCCAGCCCCTCCTCATCTCACTGAGAAACCCCAAGATGTGCAGAAACTCATTGACGATTCCCTGGTGTGGGAGTGTAAAGCCACAGGGAAGCCAAAACCATCTTACAGGTGGATGAAAAATGGGGAGAACCTGGAGTCTGCTGAGGTGAGCTCTGCCGAGCACTAGCGTATCTTTAGAGTTGAAGATAAAGTTCAGTTACCAAGGTCAGACATACGACAACAGCATTGGCACCGATGTTTCTTTAATACTCAGTGCTGCTGAATGAAGATTGTGAACAGCCATGTACTGCATTTACAATGCTTGAGTGTGCTGCTTGTTCAAGCTTAATTAGCATGCCTTATTGTCACTGCAACACAATGCCTCCTCTGCTGAAATACATTATGTTATACAGCTCTGCACAACAGCATTTATTTCTAAGGAATTAAACTGTGTCCTCTGCTTTGCTGTGCTAAAACACTAACTTGTAAACAGGCCAAGTTGTTTCATGTTAGTCTGGAAATCACAGTGATGTAAGAGCTACCCTAATCTTCTGTTAAATCTCTCTTGGCTGAGTGCAGATATTAATCCTGAGCTCCCAATGATACAAAAGTAACATTCTCTATAAAAACATTGTACAACCTATTGTCAGTTTAGCTCCCTGCCTCCCTCAGAATTCACACTGGCAATGGCACTATGATGAAAAACGAGTCTGTTATTACTCCAAACAACCTACTGTAGTAACATGTCAACTTTAGGTGATGTCTATTGTTGACATTTACCAAAATTTGATTCAGTATTCCTCGATCTTATTGGAACCTTAAGCCAGGTTGTTTGGGCACTCATTGCTTGCACCTGATTAATAAACAGGCAATATGTTCATTTTCTTATTTATGCAAAACAGGCAACAACGCACCAGAGGAAATCAATCACATGAATGTTATGCATGTTGTTGGAATAAACCCATGTCCATTGTTGTGTTACTACAGCAATACTTTGCACAGCAAACCATCTCATTCATTAAATAAAAAAAAAAGAACAAACTCAGTGAGGAATAATGAACAAACTGTTTAGCCAATGGCTAATCGTTTTTTCAAAACCATTTATAGGGTAACATTCTAATGTCTGGGGGTAGAAAACAAGCAAACCCATCTGTTTTCTGTTGAAAAAAACACATTTTTGTTTTTCTCATTAGGTTAGAGTTAGGGTTAATGTGACCTTAGTCTTACTCCATTCTCACTTCATTATGAACTGAATAAATTCAGCCATGCTGCTTTAAGATATCTCCCAAAATAGGAAAAACTACCAGCGCACCTCAACACAGTCAACCACAGTATGATTAAAGGTTACAGTGACTGTGTTGATTTTTTGCATAATAAATTGACATATTCAGAATTCATGGGTGAATGGATTAATCAGCAAAGGTGTTACATTGTTTGAAATGCCACCCTTAACCACACTGGCTTAATGAGTGGCAGAGGGAAATGTCAATGATGTAAGGAGCAGTGGGAGAGGATGCATCAGTTGTTGTTGTTTATTACTGGGAATCAAGTGAGACCTTTCTGATTGTGTGGTTCTCTGGAATATATATCTGCTGACAGTTTTCAACTTTAAGAAATAAACCAGTTAAGATGTAGAAATAACCAAAGACAAGTTCTATTGTTGGAAAAATTAACTATGCACTATTGTAGGTTCCTAGATGTTGCACTATAGCTGAAAATATGTGCATTCAGTTATTGAGTGTCAGTCTTTTAAAATATTTAAGAACCCCAATTATCAGTGTTTCACGCTATTAGTCGTACCTGTCAAACTGGTTTTACAGTTACTAAGATCTTTGTAGGGCAGACTGAGATCATGCTGCTGTTTTCTATCAGTATGGTAAATGGATTGCACTTATATGGCACTTTTCTACCTTACCTGGACAAAGCGCTTTACAAATTCACCCATTCACACACACACACTCACACACCAATGTATGGCTGTTTCAGATGTAGCCCTTACAAATAATGAGGTATTTTCCTAAGTAATGCTTTGTATTACTGCCCCTTTGTCAAAATACATAGCTATGCTTTATTAGAAGGCTTCTGTTCTTGCAGCTGTTTTCATCGTGAGGACCTCACTCACGGCTGCTTTATTGACAGTGGCTGGAAGATTAAGTGGCTACGCAATTAAAGGGAAACTCCAGCGTAAAACAGGATTTAGTCCATTTAGATGAGTATGGAACCAAGAGAGAGATGGCTTATTGTAGTGTACTTGAACTGAGGTTATTCCTCTTAAACCTCTAATGTCAAAGCCTTTGAACTTCAGCAATGAACGATGTCATTTTAATGAAGTCCACGACATCCTGATTAGAAGAGGGGAAGTGGATTGAGTTTCCTTTCTTGCCTATTTATCCAGGCTCAAGTGGAGCAAGCAGGCTCTAGCTTGTCCTTGTCATTACAAAGACATTGTTCAGCTTAGTTCAAGTCTACTTGTAGTTCTTTCTTACTCAGGCATGTACAGTGAATGAATCAAATATCTGTGAATAGCATTAGCAGATTCCTTTCACAGTTCTACTCTGGTGAGCAGTAATAATTACTTTTTAAAAAACTTGTTATGAATTGCTCCTTTCATTGTTTTATTGCATTTGAAAAATTAATAAAAAGACTAGTTTCCACCCTTTCCTTAAACTGAAGTAGTGGATTGATACTGCTACGACAATAATTTTTTTAAATGTAGCTTGTTTAAATTTTACTGCATCATTCTCAGAAAGACCCCCACTAATTAGTAATTCTGAAGAACAAACTGTAGCTGTAGACAGCAATCAAACCCAAGAGGCTCACTTTTCTAAATCATAAAAGGTAATTCTTTCATGCCATTAAGTTTTTTACAATACATGTTTCTGCAGTTTTATGTCAAACGAATCAAACCAGCGTTGTTGGCAAATGACACTGCCAGTCATTTTTATTCGGCATACGGCATGCAGACGGTCCCCCCAGGCCCCCGCATGAAAAACTGCTGATTTGAGAGGAACGTCATGCTTAATTAATAGCAGCCTTAAACAGTAGTGCACACAGACTGATATTCACCACCATTGCCTCCCTTGCCAGCAGGGATATTCGCCCCTGCATTATGGAAATTCAGGCGCAACCTGCTCAAACACAGGATTAGTTTGTGATCTTTTAGTGAGGATGGTTTCTCTTTTCATGTGACACTACCTTAATCCTCTGTGACTAGAGTTCAGACCGCTCAGACACCCCCATGGAAATAGGCTCTAATGACGCTGTGGGGGAGCCTGGGGAAAAACACAAGAGATGAAGGGCACAAGGAGGCAGAACCTGACACAGCTGCGCAGAGATGACAACTGCTCAAGGATTTAATACTGTAGTGAAGGCGCTGAATAAAACCCAAGTTTAGAAAGATAAACATATATTGAAGATTAAATGTTCGCTAAATGCACAGATCCTTCTGAGGTTTTAGTTCATCGGCCCAACTGTCTGTTAATAGATCTTAAATTGATGGTCACTGATGAGCAAGACAGGCAAAATTGAAAGTCCAGACAGATGAGGAGTAGGTACAGCATGACCATGTACACAGCACTTAGTATGTAGAAGGCATTCCTATCAGAAAAGCAATTTTCACAATGCAGTATACCTCAGATGTTACGATATTCCTTTCCCTCTTATCCCCTCCTCCTGCGGAAGGGGAAACAGGCCCTGTGGTGCAGTCAGAGATATAAATAGGGCATGGTTTTATTTCACTCTCATAAACATGCAGATTGATTAGGGTCATTTTCTGCTAGCCTGCCTCCATCCACCCAAGCCTTTCCCTCCATTAGTGATGAAAACCTAGATTTATTGCCACATCTGTCACTTTCAGACCATAATTCACTGGTCCACTGGCTGGATGTTTTTATGTAGATGAGCACTGGGAATAAGGCATATTAAGGACATGTGTCTCTGTGTCCACAGGAGCGCATACAGGTTGCCAATGGGGTATTGTCAATCAGTCGCCTGACCCTGTCCGACACAGGAATGTACCAGTGTGTGGCTGGGAATAAGCACGGCAAGGTCTACTCCAATGCAGAGCTCCGAGTTATAGGTAGGACATTGACATGGGGGCATGTGCGTTTGTGTGCCTTTGTGCACACTCGCCGCATACAGAGTGTGTTGGCATGGAGGCATGTGCACAAGCATTTATTTGTGTGTATTTGTTTTCAAGTTCGCTCTATTGTATTCCTGTGCTCAATATTTCCAGATGACCTCTGGCCTCTCTGTTATTGGTCGTTAATTGAAAAGCATTAATTATAAGATGAATGCATCCGGCTGACATTGATGTATGTCAGAGCTGCTCTGTTCACCATCCTCTCCTATCTGACCTGCCAAGTCTGTCACTCTCCTCTCTGGACTGACAGCAGTGCTCATTCACTATTAATCCTCCAGTACTGTATATCTCATTCTGATCATGTTCCTGATTGGAATATGGCTCAATTCAGTACAGTGTACTGGTCAAACTCAAGGTGGAAAATCAAAAAGGGAAAATCAGGGAGTGTTTCGGACAGCTTTTGACAAGGGCATACATTTTAAAGTGGTTAATTGCCATGGAGAGCTATTATGTTGGAATGATCAAAATATTTCTCTCTGCTGTGAAAATGTGTGACAAAGAATCACATGCAGCCTGACTCAGAATAATAATAAGGCTACACTGATCTCTTCAACTCTACAACATCAGTTTTGGGCTTTACTATTAAACTTTCTGATTACTAATTAACAAATTGCAAAGAATGTAATCTAGTGTCTTTGAATTATCTATGGCAATAATGCAGTGTATTGATGAACATTTGAAAAATGGTGATAAATATTCAGAGGCAATTTGGAGGAAAAGAGATGTGAGGCTTTTACAAATGCTTGCTTTAATATGTTGCTCTTGTCTCAGCTGTTGCCCCGGATTTCTCTCACAATCAACTGAGGAGCCAGACGCTGGTGAAGGTAGGAGGAGATGCGCTCATCGAGTGCAAGCCCAAGATGTCTCCTTGGGGTGTGATCTCTTGGAGGAAGGGCAGCGAGCCACTCCGAGAAACTAACAGGTAACACAACATTTGCAGATTTTGTGAGGACTGCTGGAAATGCCCCTGCATGTGTTCTCATTACTTGTTTCCTAGATATTGTACTTATATGTACAACTACATTTAAAATGCAACTGTATCAATAAATTTGTGACTCAGGGGTGTGGGTGGGGTGCTGAAGGTAGAGGTTGTGAATTGAGCTAATGTTACATATGCAAGCTAGCTTGCTTCTTCACCAGTCATTTAAGTTGGCAAATGATGTAAAACTGTATACGTATTGCAGATTGTTGTAAGTGACTTTTCATAGTATTCGTAATATTAAATAGTGCAGTCAGACTCGTAATAGCAATGATCATCATGGCACCCCGGCTGAAAAAAAAAAGGAAAGTGCACATGCTCTAGAAATTCCTACAAAGTTACTGGGAGCGATGGATGTGCCTCTACATGAAGACAGCTTCATGTTTTGGAGCTCTGCATTTTCCCTATAATATGTACATTTTGAAGGGAAATTACACTGGCAAGTATCTCAAATAAGTGAATTTAAAATTAGTGAATGGAATATTTTATTCATTACAACAAGATATATTGTCAAATTATTAACACTGTAAAATCAATAACTGACCCTAAAAGTTGTATTTTTTGCATAAAGTCATATTTTTTCACTACTTTGCTGCAAAATAACTGTGCACAACTGACCACTTTATTGTTGCTCTCTCAGAATTGCCACCAGTACAGTGAATTTACTTATTGACTTGCACAACACAGCAAATTATTGACTTTGTTATTAGATGTGAGGTTTTGTATGAACATCTATTCCTCACATGGCTGGGGAATTCAGAATTTTCAGAAATTTGAAATACTTTATCAAAGCATACCAAAAGGCGTCAGTTGCTGTTGCATATTTTACTGAATGACATCCACAGAGATATTTTGATTTAGTCCTCAAATGTGGTTAAAACCCTCAGAAAACAGCTAAGAGGACAAGCAGAATGGAGCTTCACTGAGTAATGGTTAATGGGTTTTGCCTGTGTATCTCCAGCTCTTTAGTGATGGCAAAACAGACTGGCTGCTCAGTAATCAAGTACTTTTCACCTCAGCAGGGATGATAAAGGCTCCTGAAATCAAATTATTCAACTGACATGTTTCCACGTTTCAGAGGACCAGAGGGCAATCTTAGCACCCTGCTGTGTTTGACCCTTAGATGGAATATGTGCTACATCTGTTAACTTTTGCTAGTGTTTGTATGCGTATGTGTCTGAATGAAGTGTGAAGTCTGGCCCAGTAGCCTCTTTGCAGACAGGGGTCATCCTTCAGGTGTCACTACTGTTGCATGACTCCACTCTGACAGCAGGGCTACGTGCACGGTGTCTTGCATATATACAAAGTAGTGTTGTTACTTGGCAAACAAAGTGCTGGGGAATTTGCATAGTTGTTTTGCTGTTGGTGCCCTTCAATTGCCCTGTGCCACTTACATCACACATTTCAGCTTCTCAGCACCCAGACCATTTTGATTTAGTTGTTTTGCAGTCATAGTTTAGATCGATTTCACATTTGTCTTTGCTGTGACATGAACTGACATCCTCACAAACTGCTATTTCGATGTTGAACAGATGCTTCGTGATCTTTTGTTTCCTCAGACTTCTATTAATGCATGTACTTGTCCTTCAGTGTTCTCACTTATTCCTAACTATAAATCACACAATGACAAGCTGTTCTGATAAATAATAAATGATTCAAGATTTAAATTATTGAATTGTAAGTAATAAAACACTCTTGAATAATTAAAAATTGTGACTTCTTTCTGCAGCTGTTACAGAAAGATAGACCTGCTGCAACCATTTAGTTAAGTTCTTTAGTACACAACCATGATGATGATGGACAATTAGTGAGTGAAATTCTTTAACACTTTATTTTGGTAATTGTGAAAGTCTGTTTGATGTTCAGAAATATGTTTTAATGTTTTTACTTGCACTGAATAAATTTTATTTGGATTAGAGCACCTATGATGCTCTTCCAAAATTAAGAGGAAAGATCTGAAATAAAAAAATAAAATAAAAACAGTCGCAGCTGCCATGTTGCTGGAGCCTTTAAATGTGCTGATTACAAAACCCCTGTACTCTCTTTCCTGTTATCTCCCTCTTCTCTCATCTGCGGCATACGCACATACAACACAGCACTGTATGCCGCACAATGAAAATGTTCAGCATGTGTTGTGGTAATTGTTAGAACAGTTGTCTTTTAAACAGCTGCTCAATAATAGCTGTCCTGTCTGTAGGCTGAATACAGCATTTAATTTTATCCTGCTGTTTGTTTGAGAAAATATAAGACTTGTTGTTGAAAGCGCACCACTGATGCAAATTAGTAAGTGAAAATGACGGGACAAAAGACATCCTGGTTTCACACACCAGCTGTGTGATAAGCACAAATGCTACATTTCTTGCTTGTTAACTTTAATTTATGTTTTTCTGTATTTATTAAACTCACATAAAAGAATAATGTTTGCATGCATGTAAAATTTATGCATGCATGTCTGAGCATGTCTGGTTAGTTATGCACCTGTACAGAAAGGTGCAAATTCATAAGCGGTAGCTGCGAACCCCTTTTGTTAAAGATTAATTGCTTTAATTGTACTAGTACTCCACAGTGGTTTCAGCAGAAAGCTGAACTAGTGTCACCAGCTGGGTAATCCATCTTCGTAGCAGCAGCCCTCCTTTTTTTCAGCCGGAGACCAGTGGTGGGAGGGGGTGGCCT